GAACTTTCTTGTCCCTATGGTCCATTAATTTTTCCAACTGCTATGCAATATTTTGGAGAAGCCACACTAGCTATATAGTTTATAAGTCTTGGGTCTACATACGTTTCCTCTAACCTGTTGATTTCATCAGGAATTCCGGCATGAATTTTGATAAAAAGCAACCGTCTGATTCCGGCGTTGCTATATTCTTCACAAAATGCCTTATAATACTCTTCCCAGGACTTATTTTTCCAACAACTTTCTAAAGTCTTTCCTAAACTGCTGACACATATTTGTTGCATTAAGTAACTATCCTTGTCTCTACGTAAGACTTCAATACCGTTATAAGTACCTTTTGTGAATGTTTCTGCCACTTAGATTTGTTCGTGAACGTTTTTTTGCTTCGACTGACCATTTCTGTTCTTACATACAAAATAAAAAAAAATTAAAAAAATAAAACTAACTTTATTTTTTCTGTCTTAAGGAAATTCATGAATTTGGTCATTTTCAGCTAAAAATAAGTTTAGGTGAAGAGGTGAGATCTCACCTTTTTTCACCCGTTTTTTTCCCTCTTGAATTTTCATGATTTCATCGTAAATGTTTTGTCATAGATTTCCATACGTCAATGTTTCTGTCAGACTTCTTCAGTACATGTTTGTCAAACTTCTCTGTACAATGTTTGGTCAAATTCTTCGTAATGAGCGTAAATCAGAAGACAAAATAAAGTTTTAGGTGAAGAGGTGAGATTCACCTGTTTTTTCACCCCGTTTTTTCACCTCTTGAATTTTCCATGAATTTCATGTAAATGTTTTGGTCATGATTTCATCGTAAATGTTTTGTCAAAACTTCTTCGTACATGTTTTGTCAAAATTCTTCATCGTAATGAGCGTAAATCAGACAAAAATATATTTTAGGTGAAGAGGTGAGATCTTCACCTGTTTTTTTCACCCGGTTTTTTCACCTGTTATTTTATAAAGCGTTTTAACATGAATTGTACGATGTATATTTGAAATTCTAAACATTTCGTAGCTTCTATTTCTCTGTCAGTATGTCAACAGTTTTAACGATACCGAAAGTTTCTTTATATTTCTTCTTTGACGTCAAGATAGAAGCAACATCGTCAGCAGTTGGATAATTTTGTCTGTTCAGAAATGCTAACATGTCCATTTTATCTTCTGCTCGCGCTTTTCTCACTTCTTTTCTTTAAATCTGCATAGTCGTTTCTCTCATTCTTTCTATCTCTTTGAGGGACGGAGTAAGTTTATATTCCTCTATGCTGCCTTACATTTTGAACATTGCGGGTTCATTTTTGCGTTATATTCTGAAACCTTACCTGCTAAAACAACTAAGCGTCAATGGTTTTCTTTAAATCTGAAGCAGTTGGTTTTATTTGTTCATTCCATACCTTACATCTTTATCTTTATCTCTTATCTGCCATAACAATTCAGCAACTAACGAAAACAAAGTTGTCGTAGGTCTTAAATTCTTCAGATTTATAATATGTCAGAAACATTTTTATATACCATCGTCGCAATCTTGTCCATAACCTTATGGTTTGCAACTGAAATCCAGAAACTCATAGTTTCTACCTTTCGTTATGAACTTCTTTATTTTAATGAGTCAGTTGCTTTGCTTCAATTCGTGAATATCAGGAATATGTGAGTTTTTTTGTGTTGGATGTTCAGGTATTTAGGCAAATGGTCAATAATGTCTGCATTTCATAAAGATACTGTTCATTTGTTTCATCTTTCGCCCTACAGTCTAAATTACTTGTTAAAAGTTCCTGCTTTATCTTCTGGATTTCTGTTTCAAAAGTATATGAAGAAGGAATAAGCTTTTCATTCTCTACTAACATTGACGTAGGATTCATGACTAAAGAGTTTGGGTGCTGTTGTTTGAATTTTTGTTTGTGTGCCGATTGTTGAAATCATATCTTTTATACAAATAAAAAAATAAAAAAAATAAAACTAACTTTATTTTTTATTTCGGGAAATTCATGAAAATTCATGAGGGTAGAAAAACGTGTTAGAAAAACGGTGTTAGAAAACGTGTTAGATCTAACATTCTAACATAAACTTATTTTTTTGTCTGATTTACCTCAATTACGATGAAGAATCTTGACAAAGGAAATTAGATGAAGAAGAACTCGAAGATACAGTGGAGAATGCTAAACCTTTGTTCGAAGAAGAAGTTGGAAAAATGTGTGAAAAACAATTAGAACATGAACGTGAGATATATTATGGTTATAGAGATTCTCCATACGAACTAGACCAATGGGAACAAGAAGATTTAAAGAGAGAATTTAGAGAATATGAACTCGCTAAGATAGCATTTGAAGCTGCAGAAAAGAAGTTAAAAGTTTGGGGTCGTTTTGTAAAAAAATATTGTGAGTAAATGAACCATTTATTTTTATTGAATTCAGTAAAAATATAATTTATGTTAGAATGTTAGATCTAACACGTTTTCTAACACGTTTTCTAACCTCATGAATTTTCATGAATTTCCTTAAGACAGAAAAAATAAAGTTAGTTTTATTTTTATTTATTTTTTTATTTTGTATGTAAGAACAGAAATGACAAACATTGAGTTTGAAACAGTTAGAAAGATAGACAATGACACCAAAGTGGTTAGAATAGGTGATTTAAACGTAAGATACTCAAAGAAATACAACAAATATTCTTTGTCAGACATTATATCTCCATCTGGAAAGAAACCGAAGGACTGGGTTAGAAATGCTTCTACTCAGAAAATTTTGACAAGAAATCCTGAGCTTATGATATCAGTAGCATTTCATGGAACTACAGCATATCTTATAGACAAAAGTCTTATACCAATAATTTTGTTATGGTTAGACCCAGTTGTTGGATATAACTTCATAACATATGGTTCATTCGATACGGAACGTTGCAGTGAAGGCTTACTTTACATCGTTCAGAAACCGAAGGACTTCAACACAAAGAGATATAAGATAGGAAGAACATATAATATAACTCAAAGATATGACAGTACAGTCAATAGAGTCAAGGTTGTGTTCGTTAACGATATGAGAGCTGCTGAAACAGAACTACTTGAAAAGTTTGAGAAAATGTATGGTGCTCCCATAAAAGGTAAAGAAACGTTTGAAGTAGATGAGATAGATAAAGCTATAAAATTATTTGACGAAGTTGCTGAAAAATACATGTAAAAATAACGTTTACCATGTAAAACGGTTGTGAAAAAAAGAGGTGAAAAATTAGGTGAAAAAACAGGTGAGATCTCACCTCTTCACCTAAACATTATTTTTGCTGAATTCAGCACAAAAATCTGAGTAAAATGGCATAAGATTGCTTACCATGTAAAACCGAGAGAAGAGATTCCGTACGAAAACAGTGAAGAACAGCGAGACCGACTTTTATCTGGGTCGCCAAAACTCTATGAAAATCATGAAGAACAGCGAGTAGGTAAAAAAACTTAGTCGCCAAAACTCTATGAAAACAGTGAAATTTCTCTAGACCGACTTTTTTCGGTCTTGCATAAAACTCTATGAAATTCATGAATTTCCTTAAGATAGAAAAAATAAAGTTAGTTTTATTTTTATTTATTTTTTTATTTTGTATGTAAAGACAGATATGTCAACAACAGAGAACACAACAACAGTTATAGTCCATGAAGCTATAAATGAAGAATATGAGTACATACAGTTTAACAAACAACTCCGTCTCATTCGTTCGGTCAAAGACGATATGTACCAGATGCAAAGTATTTTGACGGCTTGTTTTGCTCCAGACACTAAGCTTCCTAAAGACTGGTTTAGGAACCAAAGCACCATTGAACTCTTAAGCGAAGCACAGCGAGACATACTTTTTTCTGAAAACAGTGAAGAACAGCGAGTAGGTAAAAAACCCCAGTCGCCAAAACTCTATGAAAATCGTGAAAAATTGCCAAATGGTTTGAGAGGTTGGTATGTACATAGACTTCTTGTAAATGCTGTTGCAATGTGGGCTTCGCCTCGTTATGCTTGGAATATTTACAGACTTCTTGACGAAATTCATAGACAAGAACGTGAAGAGCTAGAGAACAAGCTTGAAGCAAAAGACAAAAACATTCAGAAAAGAATACCACGTTCGGTACCAAAAGGAAAGGAAAAGAACTATAAGTATATGATTTATACTGAAGAGATGGAAAATGAAGAAGATAAAGATATGGTTATGTTGCATTTAGTCAGAAGAAACAACAAAAGCTTTTACGACCTTGCTAAGATTTACAAATCTGACAGAAATTGGTTCTATCGCGAAAACTTACCGATTTCAATGACCCCAAATGAAGATGTGAAACAAATAGTTCAAGATACTTTACCTCAAACACACTATGATATGAAAGGTTGTACAATACTTACATTCAAAGAAGATTTGCCATTGTTAAAGGAAAAAATAACAGAGTATTTTGACAACTTCAAACAAGTAGAGTAGATGAACCATTTATTTTTCAAGCTTGACTTCAGATGGCTCAAGTAGCTCAATTAGGTAAATTGCCTCGTCAAATCCTTCTGGCATTCCGAGTCCTTCCTTCCGACAGGAAAAAATTTTCATTCCGACAGGAAGAACTCTTCCTTCCAACAGGAAAAATTTTTCCTTCCGACAGAAAAAATTTTTCCTTCCGACAGGAAAAATTTTTCCAGTTGTCCGTCCGTAAACCATTCAAATTTTCGAAAATTGAGAACTTTTTGGTCGAACTTCAGAAAAAGTTTTTCCTTCCGACAGAAAAAGTTTTTCCTTCCGACAGGAAAAGTTCTTCCTTCCGACAGGAAAAGTTTTTCCTTCCAACAGGACACAAACGGATGACTGACGTTCCTCTTCCTGAATGCCTTCCAAAGCCAGAAGAACCGACAGCCCCAGCACCACAACAGACTTACTAAGACTAAACACTTACATTTTTCAAGCTTGACTTTTTACAATTTGAACTTTGTTTGCGTAGATATGAATTCTGAAAGAAGTATGAGGGTCTTGTATGACTTTGTACTTCTCCCATAGTTCATATCTGTCAAACTTACCTGCCATGGACTCTTTCATAAGTTCCATGAAATCGTCTTCGGACAATCCGGGGAAAAGTATAATGTCAGTCAGTATTCTTTTAACATCCTTACTTAAACTCTTTGCTGTCTGTACACAAATGACAACTGAGATGTTAAAGTGTCTGAGCTTCTTAAGAATTCGACACATATCTTGTTCTCTGTTCTTTAACAAAGGATGAGAGGCGAAATCATCTAAGATAAGAAGACACCTATGAGGGTAAGTCTTCCAATCGTAAGATTGCAATTTCTTCGAAATGTATTCTATCTCTTTCTGTTTGTTTCTGAAGTGTTTCTTCTCTAATATTCTCTGCATTTCCTCATTTGGGTCTTTAAACTTCGAATTTATATACTCATTTATAGCATTGTACTTCAAAACCTTCTTTGGTACTTCTTTATCCAATCTAACAACTCAGTATCCTTTATACATACTAACTTAGACTTCTTTATAATATCTTTGAACGAATTGACGGTTTGGTCAAATTGACCAGAAGTACTACAAATGACAACTAACTCATAGAATGGGTTCTTCTCATCTAGTTCTTGTTGTTGTGCAGCCATTTTAAGATAAGTGAAAGTCTTACCCGACCCAGGTGGTGCAATTAGACCTGTTATACCATTCTGAGCAAATAAGAACTTGTCATGTATAGGCTTTATCTGAGCATTTTCTAACTTCCTCTTGTTCTTGTTTAAAACATTCTCAAATTTCTTGTCAATGTCAGCAAACTTTTTTTCTAACATATTTTTAGAAAAATTAAAATTTTTATCTTTTAGAAAATGTCTAGCGATTTCGCTATCTATATTCGAGACAAACTTTTCGACAGCAAAACTTCTGTCGACCATAAATCTTACATAGTGTAAACAAGAAAGGTGAATTTGTTCTAAAGTTCTGTTTCTGGGAATATGACAAGAACCATAAAACATTAAGCAGAGCAGTCTTAAAATTTGTCAATGACAGACTTGTTGACAAGATGACACCGATTGGAAGATGAAGTCCAACAAAAGTTCTTAGAATGCAAAGAAGACACATGCGCTGTTCTTGAAGATGAAATAGAAAACAGAATAGATGAGCTATTAAAGGACAAAGAACTTTTACAAAAATATGTTCTGAGAAATTTGACATAACTCCACCAGAAAAGAAGAAGAAAGAAAAGAAAAGAAAAGAAAGTAGAAGAAGAGAAGAAAGAACCAGAGCCAGTTCCAGAGAAAAAGAAATTTGACATGTAAAAATAAAATTTTTTTTTTAGAACATTTCTGGGTCAATGTCAATGTTCTCTTCCTCTTTAGGAGCAAACACTGGCTTAGACTCTAAAATCTTTTTACCCAATTTACCTTGAACTTCAACTATCTTAGACTCATAATATTCATAGTCGTCTGCTTTCTTTGGTTCATAAGGTATAACAAGTTTGTATGCTTTGCCTTCTTTAAGGTTTGAAAACCTTCTGTCAAAACTTTCTTTGACTGCTAACAAACCTTCTATGTCTAAGTCTTCAAATTTCGCACCATTTTTAGTCACAATAGCAAACTTAACTGGTTCGATGTTCCAAACTTTGCTGAATGAAGACTTTTCAAAATGGTAGAAGTAAACATTCAATATGTGAATGGGTCTAGTTCTTCTTTAAGTCCTGACATGTACTTGTTTACTGAGATGAATTTTGCCATCTTTTCTATCGGATAAAAAAATATTTTTTTTAAAATTTACTCAGAAAAAATTTTTCTTTGTATATACACCATTCTGAACATCTAAAAGACTTTTGACATTTGCCAAGAATGTTCGTTTAGACGCTGTCATATAACCATATTCTTGACAATATTGTTTATACGAATCGTACAATGACCTTTCATCTAATGACACAAAGTCAGTTTCATCTATGAACAGTTCATATACACTCTTGTTTGCTTCTAACAATGTTTGTCTCTCTTCGGTATGTGGAATTTGTCTTGGATTGAACTTTGAAATATCTAATGTCATAAAAATATGAGAACAAATGGTTGTAAAAGTCAGATGTCAAAGTTTCTGCTAAGTCGTCAAAATATTTTGAATCTTGCATATGAGAATCTGACGTTCTGACAACTACATATCTTCTGTCAGAACTTTCTAACTTCATCGGAACAGCATTTTTGAAACCATAATGAAGTTTGCAACATTTTCACAAACTCTTTGGTCTTTATATTTTCTTTCAACAACTCCAACTTTGTCTGTTATAAGACTCTTCAAAGCATCTGAGTTCAAAACTTTTGTTGTATCTATACTTTGAAGTTCATTGCAAACTATAAGTTTCATATTCTCTATTGAGGAGTTAAATTTACCGCAGATGTTTTCTAAGTTTGTCATATTCGGATTCGAATAACCTTCTAACAGTTTGCACAAAATATCTGTAAAGAATGTGTTTCTTACCAGTTCCTTGTTTTCCAATTATAATGAGAGCAGTTTCATTTTTAGCACTTGGATGTTGTAAGATATTTGCAAACCAACATAAGATATATCATAAACCTTTTCGTTTCCATTGCATATAATTTCTTTGACATGGTCTAACCAAGCTTCTATAATATTTTCTTTCCATTCTACTTGTTCATATTTATATCCAGTGAAGATAGAATAGAAGTTTGGAGAAGGTGTATAGAACTTTATACCTCGAACTGAAAAATCTTCTAACTTTGACAATAAGATATCCCAAGCATCTAACATCTTCATGCCAACTTGTACGACTTTTATTTTCTTAAGTTCTGTCTACATTCTTGTTCTGAAACTATTGTCGCTTTAGGTTTGTTAAAGACTACATCCCATTCTTTCATGACATAACATTCTGGGGCAGAGTCGACATAAATGACTAAACGTTTCAAATTCTCGACTGCTTTGTTATAGTCTCGAAATGGACACATATTTCTGAATGCTTGGAAGTCATAAAAATCTGAAACATCTATTCTGTACATTTTTATAAAAATAAAAAAAATATTTTTTTTTATTCTTGACTTTGTTGTTGCATTTGTTGCATTTGTTGTTCTTGAGCTATTTGTTGTTGAAGTTGTTCTTGTAATACAATACTTTCACCAGTTGCATCTTCCAATTCGAAACTTTCTGCCGTCATTGACAAATACATAGGACATAAAAGTTTTACAGGAACAAAGTTTGCGTCAACTAATGTCAACGTATATACTTGCCAAAGTGTTTGAGTTCACTAAGGTTGAAAATTCTGCATTCGAATGAACAATAGGCAAACCAGCAGAGAAAGTATTGTTTATACGCATAAGTATCTTTGGTCATAATAGTTTCTGTCGACATTCGAATAACACTTTGAACCTAAGTTTGAAACAATATATAAGATTGGTGTGCTTAATGTCAATGGAATAGACATTCCTTGTATGACACCTTTTCCTGTTATAGGAAACTGTTTGGTAGTAAAAACCAGAAATAAGTTTTGTATTATAGCTCATATCGTTTATAGTAAACTCAGTCGGACATCCAAACATAATGAAACCTGCTCTAGTTGCAGCACATGTTACACCCGTACTTAAAGTATTAAATAAGTCAACAAAACCTGTTGGTGGTATATCTGAGTAAGTATCTTCAAAGGAGTATTTTTTACCATTCACAACAATAAAGTCTTCTGGTGTCAAAAGAGCAAAACAGGCTTTAGTCGTCATTGTGTTTAAAGTTAGTTTACAATACCGTCCTTGAGGACTTTGTAAGTTTGTTGTTATAGAATTATATGACTCAGGGTTTTTAGTCGTAATAGTATAAACCATTATATCTTCTGCCATTTATATATATTTAAAAGTTTTTCTGAAAGTGGAGAAGAACTTCATCTAAACTTTCACATGAGGTTTCTTGAAGTTCTCTGTCTAAGAAGTTCAAATATTTTGTAAAGACATAGAACTTTCCTTTGTCTACACGAACAAACAAAACAGGGTCTTTCATATCGTTCAAAAGTGTGTAAAGTCCTTTACATGAAATAAAGTCTATATTATTTTTCTTCTGTTGTAAACAGAAATTCATCAAAAGTGACACCTCAGAAAAGCTAAAATATTGAATTTTTGGAACTTTTGATAGAGCACGTTTTTAAATATTAATTAAAGTAAATGTATATTTTGTAAAGATTCTTTTTAATAAAAAAATAAAATTTTGAAGAAGAACACAAAATCTTCTGAAAAATAATATCACATAAACTCATATTATTTTCTAATATATAACTATTTTATATAAAAATCAAATTCAATGATCTTAAAAGCGAAGGATAAACCTCAAAATTTACGAATATAATGAGTGGGAATATAATGCTTATCTATCATAAAACCATATGAAATATCAATTTTTGCTTTACGCCTAATTTTTGACGACAATTAGCAAAAAATGTTAAATGTTAACACTCAGTCCATTTGAATATGAAAAATAAAATTGACTTTGATTAAATGTTTTTATTTATCATGCAATTCTTCTTGCGACCAAAGATTTGAATAAAAGTTCAAAAAATAAGATAGCTTAAAAATAATATACGGTAGTGTTTACTAATAGATGAATAGTATATAAATTCTATTAAAAAAAAAAAAAAAAAAAAAGGTAGTGGGGCTTCCAGGGGCTGCGCCCCTTCTAGCCCCGAAGATGTTTAGTATAAAATGAGGTTTTTATTCGGAAAATTGTTAGTCTTCTGGTGTGAATTCGGAGGACTCTTCGTGTTTCTCTTCTTCGTGTTTCTCTTCTTCTTCCTCTTCCATTGCTTCTGGGAAGAAGTCTTCTTCTGGGTCGAAAACATTATATAATGTGTAATTGAATGACACATTATATCTTTGTTTGAGTTCGCTCTTGACAAAGAACTTAGTTCCAGGAATACAGAAGACTTCTGTGCGTTGGAAAAGCTGATGTCCTGGAACAAATTTGGCAATTAGAGACTTCTTTTTTCCGAATTGTTCAGGAGTTTCCATGACGACGGTAACAACATCTCCATCTGCGAGGTCTTGTTGTTGTTCGGAAAGGTAAAGAGCAATGATATAAATGGTTGCTGCGTTGAATTCGAGAAAGTCGAATTCAAATTGTGTTGTCGTATAGCATTCAAACCATTTTGTACAGTTGTCTCCGAACTCGTCAACGTATTCATCTTGGTCATATCCGTAACTAAAGACTTGGAATTCGGCAATTGTCTTGTCGAATGACCGTTGGATGTTACGAGGAAGATTTTGACGAACTTGGTATAAAGTTCTCAACATTATAAGCTTAGTAAATGTTGGAAAATACTGAACTAAGACATCGCTAAGCTCAATTGGACTTGGAATTGTCTTAGTAAGTTCAATTGAACTAGCAATTGCTTTGTTCAGAACTTCACAGAACTGAGTATTGTATGTAGCGTCTGGTTGTGTATTTTCTTCGGCGTCTTTGAGATATTTAGAGCAAATTTGTTGAAGAATTTCTCTTAATTCGCTGTTAGACTTTTTGGTGGTTATTCTAACAGCTGTGCCAGTTCTTGGAGGTTGTGGGGCTTTGGCTTTGGTTAGCGGTTGAGAATTGTTAATGTTGGCTTCCATTAGACAAAAATAAACTGTTTTTTTCGGACTACTCATAGAAAAGTTTAAAATAAACCGTTTTCGTCAACGGTAACCCCCTCTATTTTTTTATTTTATTGAAAAGTCTCCGTTGGCAAACCGTTCCATCTCAAATATTGAATGAACTATAAACGTTTTTTGTTTTCTATACATACTTTTTTGTCCAACGGTAAAACTTTTTACACAACGGTTTTTGAGAGTCGTCGCCGTTGACTTTTTTGTAGAGCACTCAAAATAGTATAACTTTGTCCGGACAAGTAAGGGTCTATCGTCGCTACAGGAAAAGTTACGGGCGTTCCAAGGAAGTATACTTTGAGAAGACTTTCCCCCTTATAGAATGAGATAGGACGGTTATTTTACAAAACTGACAACACTTTGACCGAGTAGTTTTTTGTGCTGAACAAAAAGTGTCATATAAACATCTGTCAAAAACCGTTTTTTACTTCACTTAAAATGCCACGTAAGCTACGTAAGAATATACGTAAGAGGAAGAGAGCATTGAAACATCCAATAGTAAAACTGACACCACAACAACAGTTGCAACAACAAATGCTGAATGACCCCACTATGTTGCAACAAATGTCAAGCAATCCTATGCTTTTAAACCGAGTCATTGGTGCACAGAGTGGAGGTTTAAGAGCGGCACTTTTAGCGAAAATGGCAGGCTATGGTGGAGCTGCAGACGGAACAGCCTATAACCCTCAAAGTCAAATGAATTTGAGTTCACTCAAAAATCAAATAACAGATGTCAAAAAGTCAAACATAGACATACAGAAGCAAATAAGCGAAAACGAAAAGAAACTAGAATATGACAGACACACAAAGAAACTCAATGAGTTAAACGTAGAGAAAAAGAAGAAAGAAGAACAACTGAAAGAACTAAGTACAGAGGAATATGCGAAAAAAGTGTCAGAAAAAGCAGCAGAAGTAGCAAAAATGGAACAAGATGTCATAAATTTGAAAAACCATACTACTCAATATAAAATACTGAAAGATGAAGAGATAAAACAAAAAGCCCTGAAGACATATATGGATAGCGATGAGTATAAAAAAGAAGTTGAAGCAAATGTAAAGGCAGAAAAACTTTTACAGTTGCAAAACCAAACCGTACAGTATGAAAACTTAGCACAAGAAAGTAAAAATAACGACGCGGCTATGCAAAAGGCAATGAAAAGCGCAGAATATATAAAAGCTAACAATGACTGGTTAGATGCCCAAGCCAACGCTAAAGCAGCCCAACTTATAGGGTCAATAAGGACAAAAATACAAGCGGATGAAGATAGTTCAAATGAAGCTTTAACAAATGCTGACTTTAAGAACGCTTTCGAAGCTCTTCATAGTAAGGTGAAACAAGTGAACGACTTCTCATCTGGAAAGAAACTGAAGTCTGAAGGTTTCGACAACGAGTTAAGAGAAGTAGCACAAAATATGACGAAAATAACAGATGCAGCAACGAGACAGGCAGTTCAAAGTGCCTATGACGCCGTTAGAGCAACTGTTGTGGAAAGTCAAGAAAAAGAGTTACAACAGACCAAAACAGACCTAGTAAATGCTTTCTTAAGAACGAAAAGTCAGGTAGGACATTACGCTGCAGATGGAACATATGTGCCAGCTGGTGGAACTTATATACTAGCTAGTGGAACTTATATACCACCAAACCCTCCAAGAGAAGCACCTGCACCAGGACTACCTAAAACATTTACATCGTCACATGGACACAGACACAGGCATGCACCAAAACCAACAGTTCAAAATCCAGCACAGCAACCAACAGTTCAAAATCCAGCACAACCAACAGTTCAAAACCCTGCACAACAACCACCTCCACAACCAGAGCAAGGACATAAAAGAAGTAGAGAACAAGGAAACCAAGAATTCTTAAAAATGCTTAAAGAAGACTATGGTTACCCAGATACTATTGACTTTAGTGACAGATATAAAGAAGCTATTAGAAAGTTCAAGGATGGAAATACTGACCCGAACCTATTTAGCTTTATGGCTCTGCACCAAAGGGGATATAATCTCAAACCTGGAAAATACAAGCTCGCTAAGGGATATGATTTAATAGCATATCATCCAAATGACATGAACGAATTTACTCCGAGATATTTGATGTCAGAGCTAAATGACAATTTAACTCTCTTCATGAAACGCGTAAAAAATAGAGACGGAACGAAAGAAGAAAGGTTTATGAGTCCGGATGACTTAGAAAGGGAACTTGTTGAAAACGGTCTCGGAATATATGAAATGCCAGCAGATGAGGTACAAGAAACTCCACAGGAAGAACTAGTTCAGATACAACCAGACATGGAAGAAATAGTTCAGCAACAACAGCTAGAAGAGCCTGAAGGAAACGAACAAGTCACTCCTTTGGAAACTAACCTCACAGAACTAGATGAAGATTTGGAACAGCCGAAAATTCTTGACCCTCAACAAGAGTATGCGGAGAATATGGAATATTTCCAAGAGTCTAAAAAAAATTCGGCTGACATAGTAGAAGAATATCGAAAAATGTTTGCCGACATACAAAAGACTCCAACACCAGATGAAAATATTCAGCATAGAATGGAAGTACTGAAAGAAAATGTACACAAATACAACAACCCTTTTTACTTACGAGCATTTAACGTTCAATCTTCGGATGAACTCGGTGAAAATAAAAGGTTAAATTTCAAGAAAACATATAGAAATGAAACATTGTTTAAAGTTCATTCAGAACCTAACCAAGATGGAAACAAACCTACTTTTGTTTCTGCAGACGATGGAACTACAATGAGATGGGGTCATAAAGCTAACCCGGATAGGTGGTTCATAAACTTACAACCTCAATTCCAAGAAGTTGTAGACGCAATGGAAGCGAATGGTGAACGAGATATAGCTGGTATTTTCAGCGCGGCTTTAATGCCATTGAAAGATATGAAAGATGCAGATATTTTGAACCAGTATGAAATGAACATGGCTGATGGAAATATAACACCTGACGTTCTAGAACATTTATCTCAAAGAACTACACAGAACCATAGAGATGGTATATTTGGTGAAGAGTTTAGAAAGAAAGTTAGGGAGAGCGAAGGAAGAGAACCTATTGTACATGACCTTGCAAACGAAAGTTTACAAAATGTCATAAAAACTTACTTTGCAGACAATGAACTGAGAAGGGATGAATATTTAAGAAAACTCAAATGGACAGTACCAGATGAAATGTTAGTATTGAAAAACATGTTCCTTGACAAAATAAAACCAACTACAGAAATAAACGACGCAAGACTGAAAGATTGGGTAGAAGCTTTCCCATTCACAAAAGATATAGTTGGTAACATGGAAAGAAAACCAGAATGGCTACAAAAACATATATTTGGAAACGAGCATATTCCATATGGACAGGCACTGTTTGAAGAGCTTGAACCGGAAACTCAGGAAAGAGTCATGCAAACAATACGCGAAGACTCAAATACAGACTATGACAAACTCTTTCTAGGATATAGGTTACCTGAGATGGGCGACCAGAGCCAAAAGGCAAAAAGGACATGGGAAATTTGCAACATACTAGATGAACATAATGCAAAGATGCAACAACTTCAAGCAGAGGGCAATGAAGGAAAAAGAAGAGTTAAAAACTCAGTCAGGAAGAAAGTAAAGCTTGGTCCACGTGGGTTCTATTATGACATATAAATCCAACTATTCTATATTTTTACTCATATGAAATGTACGCCGCTCAGAATATAACGCCAACAGTTTTGGATGCTATGAATGGAAATGTTTCCGAATGGTATAACGAATGCGACAATGCCATTAGAAGGTCAGAAATAGTTCCTGGAACTTACGAATATACAACTGCTGTTTCTTATGGAAACGTAGGTGAGTTTGGAGAAGGTTCTTCAACAACAGTAGATATTGCTTGCGACAGGTTTCATATAATTTCTATTGACAACTCTTTCTTATACGTGGAACAAGACATTGAAATAAAACCTTCTGCCAAGTTGTCTGACAAGAAAGGTTGCAATGGAATTTTCTATGTCGGATACCAATATGCTCCAGAAGTTTTCATGGGATATAAGATATATTCTAACTCTGACTTAGTTCAAACAGTAACATGGGCAAACTATGAATGGTTCGCTTTGAGAAACTCAGTACAACCACAAGCTAGAGAACAAACAGACCAGTATGCAACTATTGAGAAAATAAGAAGACTTGACCCTAACGTTCCAGGAGTTTATGTTAACCTTTCTGGACAAACTGCAGCAGCAGTAACCAAAGTAAAATTGAAACTTAGAGTTCCTTTGTCATCTTTCCTCATCTTCAGGTTTTTAAGATACTTGCCAAACTGGGCAGGAAAAATTTCTATCGAACTTACTCCAAGCAAAAATAACTTAGTCATTGCACCAACACAAGACCCATTCACTCTTACAGAAGTAGTGGGAACAAATAAAATGTCATTCGCCGACTTTTGCAAAAACAAAGTTGACTTAGACTTTGGTTTCTCAAACCTCAACACTGAAGTAAACTATTATTTCAATGCTGCTGGAGATGCTTGGGACCCAGTTAAGTTCACATGCGAAAAGTTTGAATGCAAGAGAATAGAAAGCAGACTTGCAGTCTATATGTTGGACCCAGATATTTCAAATGCTTTAGCTGCCAAATATATTGCAGTTCCACTTATGTTCCCTATACACCAAATATCTGTCAAAGACTTTGCAGGTGAAGTTGGAAACCAAAGTGCTGACCCAGGTGCAAGAACAGATATTGCTTTAACAACTGCAATGAAACATGCAGATACTATGTTTGTACTGTTCAGACGAACTATAAATGACTATTCTTGCTTCTACAACCCTGGTATTAAATATCATATAAACATAGATGGCAAATATTATCCAAGAGAAGAATATTCTACAGTTGAGGATATGAGGTCATACAACTTGACATTAGATGCTATGAACTTTAACAACAACTTCACAACAACCATTAACCCTGAAATGCAAAGTTCTATTATGCCATATGTGAAAGTATGGACTCATACAGGAGGTCAAAAAACTCAATATACAAATGGAGACCGTTCAAACTTTTGGCTTGGCATTCCATTTGCTGACTCAGAAGACTTTATGGGTGGTATTTCAACTGTTGGTACTGTACAAATACAATATACTGGTGACAGAGACGGTCCAGATGAATTGAGAGCAAAGAAGTTTACAAAACCAATAGCACTTTTCACGGAAGATGCTCTTTTGAAGATTCGTTCGATGAAACCTGCTGGGGCTCCTCAGATTGGCATAACGACAGCTTCCATCGAGCAGATTTTGGCAGCAGGTCAGTAAGTTGTTCTTGAACTGACTTCTCTCCGTCAAATATTGACAGTACGCCAGTTTTGACATAAAATTGTATTATAAACTTACCTTTAGAAATATCTGTAAGTTTTGTTGTTATATTTTTGTCTGCTTCAAGAACTTTCACCATCTCGGTTATACCAACTTTCTTTGCTTTATGAAAATATTTTGGTTCAGCAAAGACTGCTATTCTATAACATTTTCCATTGTTTGTATAAAGAACTATTCTGTCAATGTATTTGTATTGTTTGTGTGTGTAAACTTTGTTCTGCTTCAATTCGAAGAGATACTCAAATACGTCCATCTTTTTATTCTAAGTAAAATGTCATTTCCGAAAAATAGAAGCGTAAGTGTTTCAAAAGGTTTAATGGCGGTGGCAGATGTGAAGTTAAATTCACCAACTCAAACAAACAGTCAAAGTGTTGTTGTCAATGTCAAAGAAAGAGATGTTGAAGTGGGGAAACCATACGAAGACGAAGATGGTATAACAATAGTTCCTGTAAAAGAACAACCAACATACCCTGAAGTTAGCAGAGACTTAAGTTCTGTTGCAGATATTCGAAACGACTACCAACAACTGAAAGACAAACTTAAAACTCAGGAGAAGATTTGTCAAGCTTTAGGTATAATGTTAAACTTGGTCGAACACAACCCTGTAAAAGTGAACTCATATGTCATTGCACCTCATGAAGTTTTGAAAGAACTATTGAAACTTTTGACAGAGGCAGACGATATAAACATCAAAGAAATAGAACCCGACGTTAGTTGCTGTGGTGTTTCATATAATGTCATTGACAAGATATACGTTATGAAAGGAGGTGAAACGTTGAACTTAAAATATAGTTTCCCAGACGTCATAAAAATATTTGACGACCACAACATTTCATTAAAATTTAGTTGCTAAGTAAATGGCAGAAGACATAGTGGTTTATACTATTACGACTAAAAACCCTGAGTCATATAATTCTATAACAACAAACTTACAAAGTCCTCAAGGACGATATTGTAAACTGACCTTAAACACGATGACGACTAAAGCCTGTTTTGCTCTTTTGACACCAGAAGACTTTGTTGTTGTGAATGGTAAAAAATACTTCTTTGAAGATACTTACTCAGATATACCACCAACAGGTTTTGTTGACTTATTTAATACTTTAAGGACGGATGTAACATGTGCTGCAACTAGAGCAGGTTTCATTATGTTTGGATGTCCGACTGAGTTTAGTATAAACGATATGAGCTATAATACAAAACTTATATCTGGTTTTTACTACCAACAGTTTCCTATAACAGGAAAAGGTGTCATACAAGGAATGTCTGTTCCATTGACTTTAAGTACACCTATTTTATATATTGTTTCAAACTTAGGTTCAAAGTGCTATTCGAATGTCGACAGAAACTACTATGACCAAAAGATACTCATGCGTATAAACAACACTTTCTCTGCTGGTTTGCCTATTGTTCATTCGAATGCAGAGTTTTCAGCTTTAGTAAACTCAAACACTTTAGCAAACATAAACTTAACCTTAGTTGACGCAAACTTTGTTCCTGTAAAACTTTTATGTCCTATGTATTTGTCAATGACGGCAGAAAGTTTCGAATTGGAAGATGCAACTGGTGAAAGTATTGTACTACAAGAACAACTTCAACAACAAATAGCTCAAGAACAACAAATGCAACAAATGGAACAAATGGAACAAAGTCAAGAATAAAAAAAATATTTTTTTTTATTTTTATAAAAATGTACAGAATAGACGTTTCAGATTTTTATGACTTCCAAGCGTTCAGAAATATGTGTCCATTTAGAGACTATAACAAAGCAGTCGAGAATTTGAAACGTTTAGTCATTTATGTCGACTCTGCCCCAGAATGTTATGTCATGAAAGAATGGGATGTTGTCTTTAACAAACCAAGAGCAACCATAGTTTCAGAACAAGAATGTAGACAGAAACTTAAGAAAATAAAAGTCGTACAAGTTGGTATGAAGATGTTAGATGCTTGGGATATCTTATTGTCAAAGTTAGAAGATTTTTCAGTTCGTGGTATAAAGTTCTATACACCATCTCCAAACTTCTATTCTATCTTCACTGGATATAAATACGAACAAGTAGAATGGAAAGAAAATGTTATAGAAGCTTGGTTAGACCATGTCAAAGAAATTATATGCAATGGAAACGAAAGAGTCTATGAGTATATCTTATGTTGGTTTGCAAACATCTTACAACATCCAAGTGCTAAAAATGAAACTGCTCTCATTATAATTGGAAAACAAGGAACTGGTAAGAACACTTTCTTTACAGATATCTTGTGCAAACTGTTAGAGGGCTATTCGAACCCTAATATGACAAACTTAGAAAACATCTGCGGTAAATTTAACTCTTCAATAGAGAATATGAAACTTATAGTATGTAACGAACTTCAAAGTATAGATACAACAAAGGTTTTAAACTCGGATGCTTTGAAGAGTCTTATAACAGACAAAGTTGGAGTTGTTGAAAGAAAATATAAAGACCAAAGAGTTTGTGAAAATGTTGCAAATTTCATCATGGTTTCAAACAATGCCGTTCCGATGAAGTTAGAAAGTTCCGACAGAAGATATGTAGTTGTCAGAACGTCAGATTCTCATATGCAAGATACAGAATATTTTGACGACTTAGCAGAAACCTTAACATCTGACTTTTACAACCACTTGTTCTCATATTTCATGACATTAGATATTTCAAAGTTCAATCCAAGACAAATTCCACATACCGAAGAAAGACAAACGTTGTTAGAAGCAAACAAGAGTGTATATGAACTGTTTATAGATGAGACTAACTTTGAGTGTTTAGATGAAAGGTCATTGTACGATGAATATAAACAATATTGTCAAGAATATGGTTATATGGCAGCTTCTAAACGTACATTCTTGGCAAATGTCAAAAATCTTTTAGATGTTCAGAACGGCGTATATACAAAGAAAAATTTTTCTGAGTAAATTTAAAAAAAAACATTTTTTTATCCGATAGAAAAGATGACGAAATATATTTCAGTCAACAAATATATGTCAGAAGTCAAAGAAGAACTAGACCCATTCGCTTATTTGAATGTTTACTTCTACCATTTTGAAAAGTCTTCATTCAGCAAAGTTTGGAACATCGAACCAGTTAAGTTTGCTATTGTGACTAAAAATGGTGCGAAATTTGAAGACTTAGACATAGAAGGTTTGTTAGCAGTCAAAGAAAATTTTGACAGAAGGTTCTCAAACCTTAAAGAAGGCAAAGCATACAAACTTGTTATACCTTATGAACCAAAGAAAGCAGACGACTATGAATATTATGAGTCTAAGATAGTTGAAGTTCAAGGTAAATTGGGTAAAAAGATTTTAGAGTCTAAGCCAGTGTTTGCTCCTAAAGAGGAAGAGAACATTGACATTGACCCAGAAATGTTCTAAAAATAAAATTTTATTTTTACATGTCAAATTTCTTTTTCTCTGGTTCAGGTTCTTTCTTCTCTTCTTCTACTTTCTTTTCTTTCTTCTCTCTCTTCTTCTTCTTCTCTGGTGGAGTTATGTCAAATTTCTCAGAACCATATTTTTGTAAAAGGTCTTTGTCCTTTAATAGCTCTTCTATTCTGTTTTCTATTTCATCTTCAAGAACAGCGCATGTGTCTTCTTTGCATTCTAAGAACTTTTGTTGGACTTCAGCTTTCCAATCGGCGTCATCTCTGTCAACAAGTCTGTCATTGACAAACTTAAAGACTTCTCTGCTAATGTTTTATGGTTCTTGTCATATTCCCAGAAACAGAACTTTAGAACAAATTCACCTTTCTTGTTTACACTATGTAAGATTTTATGGTCTACAGATGTTTTGCTGTCGAAAAGCTTGTCTCGAATATAGATAGCGAAATCGCTAGACATTTCCTAAAAGATAAAAATTTTAATTTTTCTAAAAATATGTTAGAAAAAAAGTTTGCTGACATTGACAAGAAATTTGAGAATGTTTTAAACAAGAACAAGAGAAGTTAGAAAATGCTCAGATAAAACCCATACATGACAAGTTCTTATTTGCTCAGAATGGTATAACAGGTCTAATTGCACCACCTGGGTCGGGTAAGACTTTCACTTATCTTAAAATGGCTGCACAACAACAAGAACTAGATGAGAAGAACCCATTCTATGAGTTAGTTGTCATTTGTAGTACTTCTGGTCAATTTGACCAAACCGTCAATTCGTTCAAAGATATTATAAAGAAGTCTAAGTTAGTATGTATAAAGGATACTGAGTTGTTAGATTGGATAAAGAAGTACCAAAGAAGAGTTTTGAAGTATAATGCTATAAATGAGTATATAAATTCTAAGTTCAAAGACCCAAATGAGGAAATGCAGAGAATATTAGAGAAGAAACACTTCAGAAACAAACAGAAAGAGATAGAATACATTTCGAAGAAATTGCAATCTTACGATTGGAAAGACTTACCCTCATAGATGTCTTCTTATCTTAGATGACTTTGCTTCTCATCCTTTGTTAAAGAACAGAGAACAAGACATGTGTCGAATTCTTAAGAAGCTCAGACACTTTAACATCTGTTGTCATTTGTGTACAGACAGCAAAGAGTTTAAGTAAGGATGTTAAAAGAATACTTACTGATATCATACTTTTCCCTGGATTGTCCGAAGACGATTTCATGGAACTTATGAAAGAGTCCATGGCAGGTAAGTTTGACAGACATGAACTATGGAGAAGTACAAAGTCATACAAGACCCTCATACTTCTTTCAGAATTCATATCTACGCGAACAAAGTTCAAATTGTAAAAAGTCAAGCTTGAAAAATGTAAGTGTTTTAGTCTTAGACTGCTTGTTTGAAGTTGTCAAAATACTCTCTTATTTTTTACGATTTTCATGAGTTTTAGGCTAGACCGGTAAAAGTCGGTCTAGAGAAATTTCATGAAATTTGGTCATTTTTTTCAGCAAAAATATATTTTAGGGTAGAAGGGTATATCTACCCCGTTTTCTACCCTCATTTCTACCCCATATGTCCTTACTGAAAAAAGTATGTGTTCCATATGTCATTTTACTCAGAATTTTGTTGCTGAATTCAATAAAAATATATTTTAGGGTAGAAGGTTAGATATAACCTGTTTTCTAACCTCTTTTCTACCCCAGTTATTTTATAAGCGTTTTACATGGTAAACGTTATGAATTCGTGAGACTCTAAACAGTTTTGTAGCTTCTATTTCTTCTTTTAGTACATCGAATGTTTTAACTATGCCGAAGGTTTCTTTATACTTCTTCTTGACGTCAGATAGAAGGAAATCTTCTGCTGTTGGATAGTTTTTGTTCAGAAATTCTAACATGTCCATTTTATCTTCTGCTGGCTTTTCTGCTTCTTTCTTTAAGTCAGCATAGTCGTTTCGCATACGTTCTATCTCTTTGACGGAGTAGTTATATTTTCTTATTGCTGCTTTACATTTAGAACATTGCGGGTTCATTTTTGCGTTATATTCTGAAACCTTACCTGCTAAAACAACTAAAGCGTCAATGGTTTTCTTTAACTCAAAAGTTGCTGGTTTTATCTGTTCATTCCATACCTTACCTCTTCTATCTTTATCTCTTATCTGCCATACACATTTTGCAACTAACGAAACAAAGTTGTCGTAGGTCTTAAACTCCCGGGTTTTGTAAAGGTCAGAAACATTCTTATATACCATGTCGCAATCTTTGTCCATAACCTTATGGTTGCAATGAAATCCTAGAAACTCATAGTTTACCTTTCGTATGAACTTCTTTATTTCTACTGAGTCAGTTGCTTTGACTTCTATTTCATCGAATTCTGGAATAGTGAGTTTTTGTTGTTGGATTTCAGGCAATTTGGGTAAATGGTCAATAATATCCTGCATTTCATAAAGATACTGTTCATTTGTTTCATCTTTCGCACTACAGTCTAAATTACTTGTTAAAAGTTCTTGCTTTATCTTCTGGATTTCTGTCTCAAAAGTATATGAAGAAGGAATGAAGCTTTTCATTTCTACTAACATTGAAGTTGGGTTCATGACTAACGAGTTTGGTGCTGTTGTTGCTAACATGTTCTTACAATAAAAATAAAAAATATTTTTTTAAAAAAACCAACTTTATTTTTTATTTCGGGAAAACTCATGACAAATTCATGAGGGTAGAAAACGGGGTAGAAAACGGGGTAGATATACCCTTCTACCCTAAAATATATTTTTGCCGAATTCTGTATAAAACTCATGACAAATTCATGAGGGTAGAAAAGAGGTTAGAAAAGAGGTTAGATATACCCATCTACCCTAAATTATATTTTTGCCGAATTCAGCAACAAAATTCAAATTGTAAACGGTTTAATAGAAAAAGTGTTATTTTTTCATGTCCGAAGACTCGAAGGTGCAACACTTCCAAAATACGACGAACTCAGAAGAGCAGCATGGCAGTATGTTCTTGACAACTTCTTTGAGTTCTCCAGGCACACCTTGGAAAATGCTGAAGAACTCCGACACAGAGAATTTGGAGAAATTGCACTCCAATACTACATTGACAAACAAAGGGTAAACAAAGGGTAAACAAAGGGTAAAATAAGACTAAAAACTTAACGTTTAAAAAGTGACATTTTTATGAGCTCCGAGTCACCGAGAAAACTTGGTCAGATGTTAGCAGCTTACTTCCCTGAGGAGGATGAAGCGTTACTACGTAAGGTTCAAAAAAACGAACCTGGAATTGCGTACCAAATTCGCAATTACATGACCATGGAAGAGTACGAAAGGTTTCTACAAGAGAAACCAGCTCTAAACAACTCAGAAAAGAAAGAATAAAAAGTTTAACTCGTACTTGTTTATTTTTTTACTTGTATGGGCAAGCTGCAAGAATGAAGTCGACTATCTCAGTCTTTGTCTTGACCAGTTGGACTGCTCTTGCGAGTACGTCTGTTTTGCGGTTCCCAGCTGGTGTCTGACCTTCGTAATTGCGCATGTTCTTGAGAGCTCCAACTGTAAATGGTTGTAGGATGAAGAGTCTCTCAGACTGCTTGAGGTAGTCTTCACGGTCACGAACCGAATCTGTGGTACGAGTCGAATCGGTCGATTTGAGGGAAGAGACTGAAAGCCTGTCATCTTCCATCGGGGCTGTGGCATACTCTTTGCGTAAGCGGTTCAGACCTTCTTCGAAGTCTTGGTCTCTCTTCGATTGAGATTGGAATTGGAATTGCTGGGGTGGAGCTTGCTGGAACATCCAAGGGTTGGGGAAGTAAGGCATAGGCTGAGGAGGGTAGTTCGGGAAGCCTTGTAGTGGAAATTGGTAGTAACCTTGAGGTGGAAATTGGTAGTAATTTGGTGGAGGGACTTGCTGGAACTGAGGTTGCTGAGGAGACTGTTGTGGCGCTGGGGCTGTCGGTTCTTCTGGTTTGGGAATCGGCTCGGTTGGTGGGACGTCGGACATTCGTTTGTGTCCTGTCGGAAGGAAGAACTTTTTCTGTCGGAAGGAAGAACTTTTTCTGTCGGAAGGAAGAACTTTTTCTGTCGGAAGGAAAAACTTTTTCTGAAGTTCGACCAAAAGTTCTCAATTTTCGAAAATTTGAATGGTTTACGGACGGACAACTGGAAGCGTCCTTCCTGTCGTCGGGAAAATTTTTTCCAGTTGTCGGGAAAATATTTTCCTGTCGGATGGAAGGACTCGGAATACCAGAAGGATTTGACGAGGCAATTTACCTTATAGAGATAAATGAAGTTGTTAAGCAGTACTTGCGCAGGGTAATGAAGCCAAGGTCAAGTTCACCACTATTTCTGGAAGGTCTACACTTCAGCTCGAGACTTCGACTGGAATTCCAATTCAAATACCAGACGGGACAGCCTACGATGGCATAAAGGACGCCAAAAGAGAAGCTCTTGTTAAGTTCCTAAACAAACGTCCTTGGATAAAAATACCAAAACAAGGAGAACCCCCTACCCCATATGAAATTGGCAATTTCAGTCTCTCCTTCACTTCTCGGGTCAGCCGTTTCTACATAACCTGTGAAGGCGACATCCAACCAGTTCAGTCAACCTTAACGTTTTGAGTAAAAACATTTTTTTTCATTTTTTGAATGAAGCAAGTTAAATTCGTCCCACACCAATCTCAATGGACCGATGAAGAGTTTCAAGCCATGGTTGAAGGCGTTGAGAACGACATAGACGGCGAACTTGAAGGAGCTCAAACCACAATTGCAACCAAAATTGCACAAGTCAAAGAAGAGATAGCTCCACTTAAAGCTACCAAAGCTACTCTTGACCTCATGGATAGTTACCGTTTAGATGTCAAGAGTGGAATAGACATTTAAAATTAAAACTTCTAAACTACGAAGCTATACTCCAAAAGTTAGCAGAAATGAGAAGACTTTACCAGAGCTACTTACATGTAAGGGACTTACCTTCAAGCAATCCGACCAAAGATGAATTTTCTGACATTGTCCCAATTTTGTCCGAAATCAGCTCAGATGTTTCGAACTGCTCCCAACATATCCAGAATATGAACGTTTGCCTGAACTCTTCCGCAATCTCAAAAAACGTTTTTTGGTTCTCATGTTCGAAACTTTTATCGGAAGAGACAACAAACGTTCAGAAGAAGAACAAGATATTATTTTAAACTTGTTGTATGACTTAACCGTCATAACAAGCTTTTTGAAGTAAAACCGTCATTCTCAAACCACTTCATTTTTTCGATGTCCGAACAAGCACCGAAGCCGAACACAATGGCAGATGTCCTTTCAATGTTGCCAGACAAGCGCCCAGTTCAAATTCAAATTTTGAATTTGAAAGCTCATCTGACAAACACCGTTAAGACTCTCCAAAGTAGTCTTATGGAAGAGATGAAGGGACTTAAAGCCAATGTCCTCACGAACCATGCTTCCAATGAGAAAGTCCTGAACGATTTCGCGGAAACCTTGCGCATTTACGCGAGAGAGAACCGAGACCTTGCCAGACTCATCTACCGTTTCTTCGAAGAGATAGACGCCATCTGGAAGGTACTCGGAAAGGACAGAACCTCCAACACCGTAATTCGTGAACACAGAATTGAAGAAGGAATTGTCGAGGAAGAAGAGAAACACGAAGAAGAGGAAGAGGAAGAAGAGAAACACGAAGAAGAGGAAGTTTGGGCAACCCTTGTTGCCGATGACAGTTATGAAATTTCCCAACCCTACCCATACCAAATCCGCAACAGGGAGACCGGCAAGGTTCTTACCCCAGTCCTCAACAACTTGGGACACTTGAACCTTACCCTTCGGAATCGCGGTTCAATCTCCATGGGCAAGCTTGTCGCAATTCAATGGGTTCCAAATCCAAACAAGAAGACGAAGGTCAGACACATTGACGGTGACAAGCTCAACAACCGTAAGGAGAACCTCGAGTGGTTCTAAGAGTAAAAAAATTTTATTTTAGGGGGAAACCCCGAGTAAATTTAGGCGTTTATTTGGATAAGTATGTGAAATTAAGGTCAATTTGCAAAATTAGTTCCCGACCTTTGAATTGGACTCTTTCGTCATCCCAGTTGCGTAGGAGGTCGTCCCAGAGAAGTTGGTAGATTTGCCAATCCAAGGACGATTTGTCCTCCCAGGCATTGAGGATGTACTGCTCGTAGAGTCTCATGACCTCTCCCTTGCACCAGACACCCTCTCCCTTGGAACGTAAGGCTTCTTCGAAGTGCTCGAATGCGATTGGCTGCTTGACCATCCGAAATGACACTTTTTGTCCGTTTGGTCAATGTTCGTGTCTCGTGCCATAGTCGACGAAAATACAGACAAACAGGTTATATATGAGTTTGAGACCAAGAATGGTGTAACTCGACCTGTCCGATTCAAAGACTCCGAGGGCGACCATGAAATTAAACGGAAATTAGCTAGGAAGGAATATAAAAATTTTTTATTTCATGCAATGTTTTATTTCTGTGCCGTCTTCAAGTATGCCCCAGTACTTACGCTTGGAGAGGACATGAACTTCGGTGAAAATTTTGTCCAATTTGAATTGACCCATCTTCTCACCGACTAAACCCATTTCAATGAGTTTGTTGTATCCTTCTTCGTTCGTCATGAGTGCGTCAATGTTCTCATAGTAAACCTTCACTTTGGATTTGACTTCCGAGAAGAATTTGTTGTAGTTGTCAAGGACTGCTTTTGCGAACTGAGGATAAGACCAATGTTCGACAATAGGTTTTACTGTGGTTACTAAGCCACCTTGACCTTGAGTGAATTCGTACTTCAAAACAAAAGGAGAAAACCTTTCAACAAAGTTGTCGACCTTCTCATAATGTTTACTCTTCATCTCTTGAGGTTTCTTTATGGAATATCCCCATGTCGAATTCATAAGCAATTTGAGTGTCATTGCAAGTTTGGGGTTTGAAGCTTTCCTAATATCATACAGTTGTTGTATGACTTTTCCAACTGTATAGTTCCTTCCTGGGAACTCACCATCTTCGTTTGGAATTCCAGTTGGAATATATTGGACGAACCTCATGTACGCAGCGTTAAGGTCGACATAGTATATCTTTTCATCTGAGTCGAACTTGTCGCAACCAATCGGACCAGTTTTTGGAAATTCAAGTGAGTCTCTTATCTTCTGAGAAACTTCTCCTGTTATCTCATAAACATCGTCGAAGCAACCTGTTTCATATAAAACCTTCTGACCTAACTCAGATGCTCTCCAATACAATTTGACGTCAATTGGATGTCTCAATGGAAGTTTGTTTATAGCATCTTGAAGTTCTTGCAACCTCATTGGAAGTTCTTCTGGTTCAGGTTGGTATCCGAACAATCCAACTCCTTGTGGAATTGTGTACTTCTTTTGTGCTATAACTTTGTCTGGAACAACTTTTGGTCTTGCTAACAGTGAAAAGTTTGTTTCGTCTTTTGGTACAAAAGTTTCTGTCAGCTTGTCATCTGGAATTGGTTCCAACAAACCTTTCTCGAAAAGAATGTTTACAGCTCTGACAATGTTGCACTTGCCTTTTCCGAACAATGGGTTTGTAAGACTTTCGTTCAACATGAAGTGGTTGT